CCTTCCTGCTTGCCTGCCTGTCACGGACTCCAAGACGTACGGCGGCTGCAACGTGGATAGAGATATCACGCGCGCGTCCCGGATATAACCCGCAGGGCGCTCCTTTATTCGCGCCGTATCGATTAATGACTCGCGGACCCTTGCCGACTTCTACGAGGATCGACGCGCCCCACGGGACACAGCCCGATGCAACCGGAAGAGTTTACCGGTGAGGTCAACTCACGAACTTGACACAAAACGAGAGAAATATTAGGGAGTTTTTGCAATAACGTGAATCCAGATATGGTGAACGTTAAAGTCACCTTATCCTTTTCTTAATTAGTTGTTAAGAAGGAGATAACCTGACTTTAGCGTTCACCGTATCTGGATAAACGGTATTGCAAAAACTCCCTATTGTCATAAAATTATCACTACATTGCGTTAAAATTTCTAACCTCTTCAGGAAATCGTTTGTCCATGTTAGATCATAAAAGGATCGAGAATTTCTTGTCTTACACTTGTATAGATAGGAACTTTTATTTATCATAATTATCTATCAAGTGTCACAAATGTCGCACAAATTGACGTAAAGATGTATGTTTAATATAAATATAAAGAACAGTAAAAAACATTTTGTATTTGTGTTAAAACCGATTTCTATTCAAGTCTTTTTTTAATTTTGTGTTGAAAATTTTCAATAACATATTCGAGTATTAATTTAACATAGATTATTATGTTCTTTAAATTTATGTTAAATTGATATTGGATATTTTTTAGTGCAAAATAACACAATTTATAAGTAAGTGATAAATAACATAAAAAATAATGTATTTTAAAACGTAAATTCTAAGATGAATGAATAAGATACGTATTTAATTTAATGTATTTAATTTAATGTAAATTAATATGTCAAATTTTTTTTTTACATAATATCTCTGTTACTTTCTAACATAATCTTACGTTAAATTAACACAAAGATTTAAGGGCCGTTTGGGATAAGTAAAATCTGTTAAATTCAATACAAATTTTTCAACTGAAATAGAAATGGGTTAAATGTAAAATCCTCAAACATTTTATTGTACATATAATAAAATTATATTTAATGAAATACGTATTGGACATTTTATTATTCGAAGGGTTTCACTTTTACATTGAGATTAAATCCGTACAACGGCTTTAATATGCGCCAATATGCACTAGAGCCAATTCGTTTTTAGTTTAAAATCGCTAATATTTTAAAGTTTCATAATTTTATCTTTTAAATGAAGCATCTACGTCTACGTTATCTGCTAATTTTCCGTAACATTAAGTTTGCATACATTTTTTCTTTCATTTGTTCTTTATGTTTTATACTAAATTGTAGCGCGACACAAAAAATTTAAGTTAGCCACACAGTAAAAACATTATGTATTTGTGTTGGAAACGATCCACTCAAGTCCTCGTTAAATTTTTTATGTTGAATTTTTTAACATATTCGAGTGTTAATTTAACATAATATGATTATGTTATTTAAAGATTTTGTGTTTAAATTGATATTCAACGTTTTTTAGTGTCAAAATGACACAATTTATAAGTAAGTGAACAAATAATATAAAAATAAAAGGTTTTAAAATGTTAATTCTAAGATGAATGAATAAAATATGAGTTAATTTAACATATCATACTATGTCAATATTACCCTTTATATTTATTCTTTTACATAATATGTGTAATCTTTTAACATATTTATCTTATGTTAAATTAACCCAAAAAGAGTGAATCATTTGGGATATGCAATTTATATTAAATTCGATACATTTTTTCGAACAGTACGAATAAGGCGCTAAAAATTCGTATCAACAAAGCCGGAAGAGACAGTGAAATCGCCAACTCTCTAGAAATTCTTAGAAATCAAGATAAAACGTTATTATTTGGAAGATGCGATATACTTCCACCGCGGGAGGCATTATCGAGAAGACGGGTGCATCGTGACTCGAATGATCCTCCTAGAAGGGGTTAAGCCGCAATATGCAGTTATCTTGCCCGGCGTGCATGCCGAAGCCATAATAACACATCCGTTTAACGTTAGCCACGGAGCTCGGGCTGAGATTGCAACCTGTATTTTCGTGAGTTTACCTCCCTCTTCTCCCTCCACACGGCCACCTTCGTCGACCTTCTCCCGGACCATCTTGAGAATAGCGTCGTCTAGTCCAGGCTGTATTATATTGGATTGTTGCGAAACGACGTACGCGCGTTATAGGAATAGCATACGTGCGGAAAGGGTGCTGTCGAACCGATACAACTGATGCCACCCTCTACCTTTACGATTATTATCATAAAGGTACAGCCGTCTCATCTTCAAATTGTTTACGATATTTTATGGTAAATTGAATATGTCGACGTGAGTGATATCATTCTTTCAGAAACAATATTTTTGCACAGCTAAATATTATTCTACTCTATTTTATAAAAACGTGAGAAGAAAAAAATTATGTTTAGTAAAAAGATTTTTTCGCGATTATATATAAAGAATTTTTACATCTAAAAAGAAACTCGAATGATAGCTATGGGCACGAATCTTGCTTTGATCCCGAGACAATTAACGAATTAATCGAAACTCGCCGAAAGTCCTTGGTTACACGATGATGGATGAACCATTAACTGCCGTAGTATATCGTACCGGTATACGGTAACGCGAACCGCATTTTGGCACGAGACACGCCTGACAGCTGACAGGGTTCGTAGGGCGCCGAGGTGCATGATCGAAGGACGCTGGTACCTTCGCGTCGTGTCTTCTGGAATATTTAAGACCCACCGTCCCGTCTGTAGATTTGACGTTCCTCGTCTGACATTTGGCCGCGCAGGTAAAGCAACGTTTAAGTCGCGATTAGAAAAGTAATTTGTGTATGTATTTTTTCCACTAAAGTCATTCTTTAGACTCTCTCTTCTCTCTCTCTCTCTCTCTCTCTCTCCTCCCTTTCTCTCTCTCTCTCTCTTATTCGCTCGATTACATTATCGTTCCAATTGTGATTTGAATTTCTGCACATGTGTACGTACACATAGTATTATAAAATGTTGTGTTAAATAATATATTTTTTAATTTTTTTCTTGTTCACATACATACATACATATATAATTTAATAGAATAAATATAGTAAATATATTTAATAGAATATTTAAGAAAAAATATTTAAAAGACTAAATAAATATTTAAGAGAAAAAAAGTCATTAAAAAAAATTTTAAACTCCTCCCCCCGTGAGAATAACTGTAATCGAAAAAAAAATCGTTAAAAACTGTAATTTGTATGGTTTCGGTTTTCTTCACTAGTAAACTGAAACTGAAACTGAAACATTTATCCAATGTTTTATAAAACCGTAACTGGAATTGAACTGAAAAAACGTTTCGGTCCCTAGTTGCATACATGTGAGAAATTTTATCATAATAAAGTCACTTTTATTTCATTTATTGTTACTTCGATGACACTGAACAACAAATTTTGATCAACATTTTTTTTGCAACAAATAATAGATTTTTATTTCTTATAAATAGGGCAACCAAAATTATGCTGTAAATATCCCTTTTTAAGCGCCTAAAATATGCTCTCTGAAATTGAAAAAATACTCTAAAGAAAGGATTATATGCATTTAGAAATTACTTTTTATCGCACAAATTTTCAAAGTATTAATTAAGTTTTTTACTTATAATAACAAAGTAAAATGAATTTGATAAAATTTGTTTACATTTTTAAAAAATTTAATTAGTCTTACTGGGCATTAAAATTAAACAAATACATATTATTTATTATAGTGACATTTAAAAAATGAAGGCCTTGATTTTTCAAAATCTGTAGATGATGGGACTTTTTTAATGTTATATATATATTTTTTTTTTAAATACATAAGGATTACATTCAGGTGTTCAGAAACAGAAGGTTTATCTTTTATAAACCAGTGTAATATAAATTAATTTAACTACGTTGCTATTATTTGCAGGACCATTGATAAATATCTTTATTAATTTTCATAAACGTAGTTTTCCGCGTAATTCACATTCGAACAAATTACTCAGCAATTAACAAGGAATGTTCTCACGGTTGATTAGCTTAATCAATCGTTATCAATGATAAATGCTATCATTCGGATGAAAACTCGATAGTGCGACGGAACAGATGGTTTTGACGCCTTCGGAAATTCACAATTAAAGCTCGAGTCAGAGTAGCAAGTTATGGCATAAACACGCCGTTCTCTACGACAATGAAAAAGCAAATTGCCGAGAGTAGAGACGGTAGGTCGGAGACCATGCAAAATAACAAACGACCTGTTGGCCGTCCGGACGAGGGTGTAATTTTTAAGTTTAATTCTGCGGTCCCACGTGACAAAACGGGTGGTGGTGCTATCGCCCTGCGCCACGGACCCGATATATTTTACGGCGAAAAACAACGGTCCGTTATTTCGTTTTCGATGATATGTACAACGAATGATTTTCACGACTAGATAGCTTTGTTTACAAGAGTTTAAAAACGATTATTATACGTTAGCGACAGATTCGATTTCTGCGACGGGATTTAAAGCGGAAAATCCTTGCATTATGTACTTCGCGGCAGCTGCGGATTTCGCTCTTTACCGGTGATATGCAAATGTAATAGAATTAACAGTGGCTTCTCTATGTGTAGGGGACGAAGAGTGGGACGATGATAACGAGCAGAATGTCCTGGAGGCGGCCGAACAGGATAACGAAACGACGACGATTAAGCGTGAGTGTTATTTGTTAGACTGCCAGCTCTCATGGACTTTTCTTTAGTATTTACGTACAACAGGTGGCAACGTTTGCACAAGTAAATTATACAGAATAAATAGAACGTGTTTTCACTTATTTTAACACACTTTATATAATAAAAATTGGGAAAATTGTAATATAGAAATTTCAACCTACATTAAATCGTTTGTGATGGATAATTATATGTGATGATGCATAATTTATTTACTTTTCACTCGACAAACAAGTATTTACGACATATAAACATTGATATTAAACGAAACAATTTTATTTATTGAATATATAATATTAATTATAACGTAAATTAAATAAATTAAAATCAGATTCTTTTAATAAAAAATAATTATACGGTCATATATATTTCAGAGGATGATGAAGAAGAGGAGGAAGAAGAGGAGCTGCAACGAGCGTTTAGCCGTCAGTCAGAAGGTAAGACATATTTAGAATAATATACAAATAATGAAATGTCGCAGCTGCTTCTTGTTGTTTGAATCGTAATATTTGTTGCGAGCACTTGCATAATTTTTTGAGCATCTGATTTAAATTCATATCTTATTTCCGCAATAAAAGTGACATAAGTCAAAATTTTTCAAATTTCGTTATCATTTATTATGTGCGGATTGTGTTCTAAATACATCGACTTTTAAGGGGATTCTAAAGACGATTAGTCATATTGTAAATAGAATTTATACACAGACGATTTATGCGTCACTGACATATCATTACATCAATATCTCACTCACGCATGCCATACATACGAGTACACATAAATTTTCGTATAATAATTACATTTTAATTAGACGTCTAAGTCCAATTTTAAGAACTCTATACGCTGTTATTCACTGCATGTTTCTTCATGTAAACTACTAATCTGTGGGCTACCGTTTTGTAAGTACAGATTGCACAACTTTTATATGAACCAAATGTTGTCATGACGTAACAGCTCTGGAGTGTCATATTGGATCAAGAAATGATAAAGATTTCAATTTCAAAATTTTTAGTCGTTCTCGGCACAGACTTCACCTCACAGACACGTATTAATGCGTATACTTTAATCCTGGAAAAGGATTTTTGAATCTGGAAGAAAAGAAAAAATTATTATGCAAAAATTATACGATTTAGTCGGTAATGGGTAATACAACGACTTTAGGATTCCCTTAATCAATAAAAATAACTCAAGTTGAATTCAAATACACCACTGGAAAATTTGTATTAAATTCAACACATTTCATATGTCCCAAACAGTCCACTCAAATTTGCGTTAATTTAATACAAGATGAATACTTTAGAAAGTAACACATAACAAATATTATTTAAGAAGATAAACACAAAAAATTAATGCTGATATAGTCATCTGTAAACAAACCGTAGAAGTATATTTTTTCAGTAAAATTAACATTTATGATATAATAAATTAACAAACTTATCCATTCATCTTAAAATTTATGTTTAAAATTTTTAAAAGACGTTATTTTTTTATTTACCCTTAAATTGTGTTATTTTGACACTAAGAAATGTTGAATATCAATTTAACAAAAAATCTTTAAATAACATAATCACATTATGTTAAATTAACGTTCAAATATATAAAAAATTCAAAGCAAAAATTTAACAAGGAGTGGACAGTTTCCAATACAAATACCAAATGTTTTTTTACTGCGTACGTCCCAAAAAAATGCCACAAAGGAAAAATGACACAGATCAAAATAGGGGTAGTTTTTAGGGATAACTTAAATTAAAATGTCCATATTACAATTTCTAGAGAACTTGAACCAAACAATTTGTTATTCTAAATTAATTTATGTTTAATACTGCCATAATTAATTTTGAAATATGTAATTTTTTTCTTCTTTCCTAAACAATTTTATATTTTTTACTAGTGTCATTTTTCTAATGAGAGTATGAATATCTTTCGTAAAGTACAATCTTTCTCTATCAAAATTTGCAGTAAAATCGATTGCTTTGAGCAATGAGAACTATCCCGTATACACAAAACCGGCCTCCTTTGCGTAACAATGCGAAGAAATTGCGAGAGAAAGAGAAAGAATGAGAGAAAGCCGCTCGGTGCATTCTGGTGCATTACTCGAATTGCCCTACGGGCACGCAACAATGCGTCGCGATGTATTGTCATTGTTGTTCGAAGGTGTTCAAGAAGCGCGATCCCGCCATAAATCCCATGAATATGGGATTCCTTGGTCCCTTGGGGGACGCGCAGCACGTAGCTATCCCAAGCACGAATGCATGTGCATCGAACAATGCCGACATCGCGCATTTTTCGCCTCTTTCCCGCGCGTGGATGATGAGGCGTGCGTCGGCTTTTTTGTCGACAGAATGACAGAGTTTTTAACTCCTCGTTCGTCACACGGTTGCAAGCGAATGTATGCATGTTCGATTATTTTATCGTGAAGCATTTCATCGGTATTCGAAGTCAATGAAAACGCAAAACGTACATTTCGCAATAATATATTTTTCGTTTTTTTGAGTACAATTAAGGGAATTGGCGGAATAAAGGCACAATTCTACTTAGGCCTTTTTTCTCCGGAGATTAGCGCAAATAAATAAGGAATTGATGTTGCTTACATTAGTTAAATATGAACATGTTGATTGTCCTGTGGTGGTGAAAATGATATAATCTAGGTATGTGTGTGTGTGTGTGTGTGTGTGTGTGTGTGTGTGTGTGGAAAAAGGACATAAACGATTTAAAATCATTAATGAGATTTTTACCAGAGACTGAACGAAAATGGTACGACAATAATGTGTTTTCACTAGAACATATTTATGTTACAAAATCTTATGAAAACTCATCAGATGGTGATTGAACATTGTTTCAATTTATTTTGTAAAATAAGTAAAAGTAAAATGTATTTCATATTCATTTTGTATTTTTTCTAGAAAAATGTTAAAATAAAAAACATTTCTGCGGTTCATAGTTTTTTCTTTCTATCGATTCTTACAATATTATGATTAATATTCGGAAAAAGGGACCAAGTGCATTTTTTAAATTGCAAATAACTTTTTAAATATTGATCATAATAGAGAAATATTATAACATATAACTTCTCAAAGACATTATATAAATATACATTTAATACTGTTCCTACTTGTGATATAATAAAAAAAGTAACAAGTTATTTTAATTTTTATCAAAATCAAGATTTTGTAATTAGGCCTTTATTCCGCCAATCCTCTCAATTGTTATAAATGTCTTTTTTTGACAGAATCAAATGTTAAGTATCCATTATTCAAAATTTTCTATATTAATTCGTTCCGTAACGCTTTCTTTCGCTTTTGCTCTACCCTTTTTAGTTCGATCAATACTATGAAAAATAATAGAGAAAAATCCGCATAACTGAAATGTATTTTACTGCAATTATTTAATTTTCTACCATAAATAAATTTTCTATTTTCACCTGCAAGACAGCTAACGAAACGGCCAACAGATTAACTGGATAGCATCTCTCTCGCGACGTCTACTTTTCGTTTTCTTTCGCAGCCTCCCGACAGTTTCTATCCGAACTATTTTTGCGCTAAGTAAAATTTCCGCGTCCCCTGTGAGCGCATGGCGTGTGCCCTACGGTACCGCCCTTGTTACGTAACTAGCGAAACTGTCTCGAAAGATTCGTACCTTTCCCAAGTATCCAGCAGTTTTCCTCCCCAAGGAGGCCAGGAAGATCAAACCTTTATCCGCTCCCCCGTACGTACGGCACGATTATTATTTCAGGTT